AAAAAAAAAAAAAAAAAAAAAAAAAAAAAAAAAAAAACAATGGGTATAAAAAAAAGTCAGAGCATCGCTGTACTAAGGGAAGGAACAAGTCCTGAGTTTTTCATTGTCTAGTTCAGGGACCTTTGAATAATTTGCAAGAGTCTCCACACAGAATCTGGTTCCTCTTTGCATAAGGAAAAAGGGAGGATTAAAACCAGGGTAATGGAAGAGAAACACATGAGCCAAACAGTGCCTACAAAATTGCATTTTTTCCTCTTGTTCCATTCGCCCAGTCTTCTCATCTGGCTCTGACACAGTCACCCTCGCTCAGGAGTGAGACTTTCTGTGAAAAGTTTAATGTATATGTAAATAAATGGCATGACAAAAAATAATGTAAATTCAATCAAATGGACGGTAATATTATCTCAGCAAGTCTATGCAAACAAGTCACTCCATTTGACTTGAAACTCACTCTAAGCATGAAAGACTGTTTACTTAGAATTCAAAATGCCCCTGTTTAATTTTTTTTTTTTTTTTGGCATCCAAAGGCATCGTTCTTTTGAATAAGCACAGCCTTTTCTCTGCATTAAATTTGCGAAATAGGAAAGGAAACATTTCCAGCCAGCCATGCTTTGAAAGCTTAAATGATATTTATTTCCAGCCCAATGCCGTGCTCGAAATTGTGATACTGATGCTGCATTATCTCCCCGTTGCAATTAGAGGGTGGAGAACTATGACTTCCACATCCGAAACCAATTTCAGAGGGGATTAAAACCCTGCCTGCTCTGGAATTTGAACAATGAATTTATTACTGCGCTGTAGCTTCTTGGGAAAAGAGCAGGCATCTAATCTCAGCGATGCTGCCATGGGGTGGGACACACTCCCTGCAAGGTGCAAAGATTCCAGTGAGGCCAAGGAAGTGGCAAACAAGGAAAATCCTACCCCGGCCTCAGGAGGAAGTCAGCACTCTGTAATACTAAAACTCCAGGATGAGTGCTGGAACTATAGAACAACTAAGATTTACTCCATTTATTTAAATCACTATTGAACGTCTGCTGTGTGTCCAGAACAGAGTCGGGCAGTGGGTACAGGGCAGGGATCCAAGCCAGCCACGGTCCCCACTCTAGTGAAGCTTGCAGTCTACATCAGGACTCAGCAAGCTTTTTCTGCAAAGGGCCAGATAATAAATATTGTCAGCTTTGTAGGCCATACATGTCTGGAAGCATCTCATTGTGTAAGCCAAAGAGAAGATTGAGAAAGGTTGGGTGTGGTTAAAGAGAAAGGACTTTGAGAATTCAGATGCTATCTGTACCACTTTCTAGCTCTGAACTTGTGCAAGGGGTAACTGAGTACCTCAGAGCCTCAGATTCCTCATCTGTAGAGCAGGGCTAATAACATGCGTATTATTGTTAATATTATTATCAATATATGGTATATTAATATAACATATTAATATAATACTATTAATATTATTAGCATAATATTATCTTGCAAGGTTGTGAGGACAAATTTATAGTGTGTATCGCACATCTAATAATGTACTATAAACTAATATACTGATATACTACAGTGTATGTCACACGCCTGGCACAATAGAAGCTCAAATCATTATAATTGGTGTTTTTACTAATAATAATTTTAACATGTTAATATAATTATTACTAATAATAATAAATAGAGAGCCTCTTCAAAATAACATTTGGCCTAGCAGTTAGGAAATGAGAATTCTACTCTGAACACAAACTTGCTGAATGATTTCTTGCAAGACCCTTCACCTGTCAGCCCCACAGAACGTAGAAGTTCTAGTCCTGACTCCAGGACCAGCTGCTTATGTGACCTTAGTCAAGCCGCCACAGCACATCACAATATGGTTGACAACACTAGTGACCCAGCCCATCCACAGGTGGGGAGATCTTGAGTGGGAAAGAACATTAGAAAAAATGAAGGAGTATTTAGGCAGGAGATGTTCTTACTCTCCCTTCCGAGGTGCGTGACCGTGAGGGAAGTACTGTGAGGTGACCCTTCCTGGGAGGTCATCTCCCCACCAGCTTTTGTGCTTGTGGCTCAGTCTTCCTACCATCTGTCCTCAGTGATGTCCCTTTCTATTACCACACTGCTGCCATTCGTGTACCATGTGCCACGGTCTAGGCACTACTATTCCCATCTGACAGATGACAAAATGATGTTCAGAAAGGTTAAGCACTTTGCCCAAGGTCACACAGCTAGTAAGTGACAGAACAGGGGATTCAAAACCAGGCCTCTCTGCCTCTACAACCTGCACTCTTAACCACCATAGTATACTTACTGTCACAAGTCAGCGGGGTCCCATTCAGGTCCTGAAGAGCACTGATAACAGTGGTGGTAGTAATCACAGCAGCTGCTGCTGATCTAAGGATCAGAAGCATCTCTAATCCTGACACACCCCTGCATGTCACAAATGAGGACACCGAAGCTGCAGGAGCACAGGTGGCTTGGCGCTCGTGCACAGCACTGGATGACCGGTGACCCGTGGGGCCTCACTCACAAGGCCACGCTCTCTGCCCACAGTGCTACGTCAACGTGCTCTTCTGGTATCAATTATTCTGTGGGTTCTCCGGCACCGCCATGATCGATTATTGGCAGATGATGTTCTTCAACCTCATCACCCCCTTGCCTCCTCTCATCTTCGGAATTCTCGACAGGGACGTCTCTGCAGAAACACTCCTGGCGCTGCCTGAGCTGTACAAGAGTGGCCAGAACTCTGAGGTAAGGGGCTGGGGCAGCCAGGAGGAGGTGACCTCAGCTTCTGGCTGGAGGTATCAGAAAGAGCACTGGGCTGGGGTCTGGGAGCCCCGAGTCTGGCCACTTACCTCCATGGGACATTGAGTACCTCCTCTCCCCACTCCTGGCCTATTTCTCATTTGCTGTTGTGGATGCTGAACCAGACCAGTGGGTATTTTTCTTTTTAGTTATTTCTTAATTATGTCACATGGTAATATGGGCCTGCCCTATTAAAGAGGGAGAGGGCATGCGGAAAGATCCCATCCCTCCCAGTGGGCCCCTCCAGGCCTTTTGGTGCATCAGCAGAACACCCAAGCCCCTGTTTGGGAGCCCCTGGGACTAATAGCCAGTTTGCTCATCACTGGGTAAGATACTCATTAACAAGTTCTTCTACTTCATGTCAGGGAAGGCATAACTTAGAACCCAAGACTGCATATGATCTGGAACTTGCTGCTATCAAGTAGACTAAAGAAGGCCTGAGAAGCCTTCAGGTGGCTTCTTAGAAGTACTGGAGAGGCCACACTGTAGCCACAAAGGATGTGGAGAAGTCAGACAGCAGCACTCCAGGTGGTCAGACTAGCACAGGCCCCAGCAAGGAGGCTGGACAGAGAAAGAGAGAACAGGGAGGGCTGGCTCTGAGAAAAGGGACTTCCAAATGCCTGAGGGTAACTTTGCACCTGGGAAAAGGAGGACAGAGCCAGATGTGGTGCTGGAGAGCTGACCAACAAAGAACCAAGGCCAGTCATAAGCCAAAGACCAGAGGCGAGAGACACAGGAGGCAAGAGACACAGCAGCGTGAGGTGTTCAGACAAGGGGCATGGCGGTGGACGTGCCCATCTCAGGCACTTCTCATCTTACTTGCCCACGGGCGTGCCAGCTGCATAACGCACTCCTGAGTGTCCGCTGTGAAAAGAAGCTAATGTAGCAAAAACATAGACTGCAAAGGTTTCACTTGTCCCAGGGCAGGCACAAAGAGGCAAGCACGAAATGAGAAACATCCAGCTCTGTCCCTGGGGAGCCCATGATCCTGGGCTGTGACTGAGATCTCCCTTTCAGGTGCCACGTACAAATTTTAGAATCTCTACACTTACCAAGCTTGTAGTAGCACACGCAATAGAACTAATGCATGATAGTAATTAATAACTAAGAACTTACTAGGTACTAAGGCACAGTTGTATTTAGTTCTCTTTGAACCCCTGGAAGTAGGTGGTGTTATTTTTATCCACATTTTTTATGGAAAAAGAAACCAGTTCTCAGAGCAGTTTAGTAATTTTGACAAGGTCACATAGTGGCAAAGCTGGGACTTGAACTGAGGGTCTGTTACCCACAAGTCCATGCTCTTAATCACTCCATTCTATTACCGCTGAAGTAAGAGGCATTGTAAGTGCCGTACTGTCTGCCCCAGCCACACACAAGAAAGTTGCTGGCAAAAAATAGAGGCTTGCTTTGATGGCGGTAACCGTTGGTGTCTTCTTTCCTGGCAGTGCTATAACCTGTCGATCTTCTGGATTTCCATGCTAGATGCATTGTACCAGAGCCTCGTCTGTTTCTTTTTCCCTTACCTGGTAAGTCATAGAGTCCCATTCTCACCATATAAACCAGTGTGCAACTTGTCCTGTTCACATGAAGTTCCAGACCCGTAGTGTCTTTCTGGACACTTCAGAGCAGAGGCTCCAAATAAGTGGCCTACAGACCACATCTGAATCAAGGTGTTTGAAAAGTCAGAACACTTTACCCAAACATCTTAATATCCAGTGTCTCTTGAAAGACAGAAAGCTGTCATTACCCTGGATCATTTTTCCCTTATGGCAAAAATCCAGAATTGACTTACAGCCCTGACTACACGGGAACATGTTCCTCAGTTTGCCAGAGGTCCCACCGCTCCCCTTTGTCTTACAACTGGCCTTGTTCACTCACTCACTGTTTGCTACTTCACCACTGAAGGTATTTGAATTTACAGTCCTCGATTTATTTATTGATTTGTGCTTCCATCATCCAAGCAGTAAGTGTTCAGGCAGCAAGTTCTGATAATAAGAATACTATCTGAAAAAAATAGCAAAAATACAGATAGCAAGGGATACCAGCCCCATCTCAATTTGCCTCCCCAGTTTAAACAGTAAGAATTGAGATAGCAGAGAATACCTGTATTTCTTCTGGACTGGGAGCCAGGATGTGAGGTAATTGCCAGCAGGTAAACAGCGGTGCTTCCCCAGCCTCTAGGCTCATATTCATTTGTAATTAGCAACTTGATGGGGGTAGGGGAGGCAGGCAACTTGCACCTTGAATTTTTGGCTTACCGTACCCTCCCTGGCCAGGTCTCTGTTTGCCTTTCCTGTTTTATTTTTTGTCCTTCCAGGTGCTTGACAGATCTACCCTAGAGGACTCTTTGGAGTTCTACAAACCCACGTGTTCATCCTCAGTTCTGACCTTTGCCTGGACTGCATTTCCCCTCTCCTTTCAAGTGATTTGCTCCTTTTATTCTGGTCTCAGCTGATGTATTCTCTCTTCTGTGTTCCTAGGTGCCTCACATTTGCCTCTATTCTAGTATTTACCCCTTAAATCGTACCACATCCTCCCTGCCTAACAGAATGTAAACTCTTTGAAGGTGCACACAGAAGTATCCTCAGCAATTAGCACAGTGCCTGGTGGGCACTCAATAAATTCTTTATTCATTTCACAATCGTGGCTTCCTCTGGCAAACATGTTTCTAAATCATTTTGTCCTGTCAACTCACTTCTCATCTTGGTCTGTTCCTCGGGTCAGTTCCACAAGGGTGGCAGCTGGAAACCTTTTTCTCTACCTGTTCCTCCTCCTCCCTCGACACCTGCCTTCGCTGACACTTTAAGATCGTTGTGTCAAAGCCAAAGCCTGAAGTCCACAGGTGCATCTGACAAATGCCTGTTTGTTCCTCCTCTGCAGACCTACAGGGGCTCTGATATCGATGTCTTTACCTTTGGGATACTGATCAACACCATCTTGCTCGCCACCATGCTCTTGCACCAGGCGATGGAAATGAAGACATGGGTAAGGGACCCAAAACCTTTTTGGCTTAAAAATTGTGTTCCTGTCCATTGACTACATTTGGATTACATTTGTTTCACTCCGTATTACTGATGCACTCAGTACATACACCTGAGCCCCTACCTGTGTCCCACCTGTACAGGGATGAAAAGAGGTGAGGAAGATAAAATTCCTGGCCTCACCTTGCTTATCATCTAGCCAGGATGATAAAATCAACACATAGAAAACAATGAAATCATTAGTTGCAAAGTTAGGTAATATTAATAAAAAGTTTAGGGGTGTTTCAGAGGTAAGAAAAACATTACATTGACCATACCTGAGGCTTTTTTAGGGAGAAATGTTTCCCATTTAATTTAGGGGTGAAAGATTAGAAAACTGCCTTCAGGTAAATACATCTCAAGCATGTTCAAATATCACATTCTGATACCTAAAAAGTCAATGCCAACTTTCTCGTTGAATTTTTCTAGTCAATGGTAACTATAAAAACACAGAGCTCAAAATTATATGCCTGGTACCTTTCTACATATTTATATGCATTATCAAATTTAACCTCCCAGAGCCCTTTATGTTAGAGATTTTTATATTCCCATTTTACAGATTTTGAAAACAGGTGCAGTAAGGGTGAGAAACTTGCCCTAAGCAGTTCAGGACAGAAGCAAGTTTTGAATCTTGGCAGTCTGATGCAAGCTTTTACCCACTATGCTAATAATGTGAGGAGATATGATTGAATGGTACAAAGAGACCACTTTATAGAAAAATTTGACCTTAGCCAAGTTGAAATGGCTCTTCCTGAAAGCACATGTATTAAAATTTTGGAAAACTGCCCCAGGTAGGCTCAACATGTTCCTACATTCTGCAATAGAACTTCTCCCTCACCTCCCACCACCCCCATCACAAGCCAAACCAGATCCTGACCAGCTGGCCACTGGCTGATAAGAGCTGCCCAAGGGAACTTCTGGATCACAGAGTTCCCATTTTGAAAATGCCCTCTGCTCCAATGCATGCAAGTGACAGATAGAACAAAGTGATGAAACCAAAAAGGCATAGCCAGGTTGAGGTACAGAATGAATTTCTCCTTGGGCCACCAGCACCAGAAGAGGCTGCAGTGTGATGGGGCAGAGGGAGGGGAAGAGGATACGGAGCAGACTCTCAAACCGCAGGCTTTCTTGGAGCCAGGATGGGACACAGACCATGGCGGTGGGGAGTCTGGCTCCTGTGAGGTAGGGTAGCCTGGAACCCCATTTACTGCTGGGTCCAAGTTCCCCACTCAAGAAAGAATGCTAAAGAAAGGATGACAATGACAAGATGTTTGGAGTTACAGTTTTAGCAGAAGCTCTGTGAGCAAGAGAGGCAAGATTCAGAGACATAACAATGTTTTTGTTGCTGTTTATTGAAACATAATTGATTGTATATATCTTGCTGAATATCAATACCTGTGTTCAATATGTGATGCTCAAATTAGGATAAGTAGTGTATTCAACATTACACACTGTAATAGTGTTTTGTGGCCCTCTATCAATTTCTCACTAACACCTCTCCCTGTCCCCCTCTTCCACCTCTGGTGGCTTCAGTTCTGTTCTCTCCTCTTGAAAGTTTGATGTACTATTGTGATTGTTGTATCTTTGTTTCTTTTTTTATTTATTTGTTTATATTTTAAGCTCCCATCCTGACTGAGGACATGCAGTATTTTTCTTTCTGTGCCTGACTTATTTCACTTAACATAATTTTCTCTGAGTTCATCCACATTGCTGCAAATGGCAGAATTTCATTCTTTTTTATGACAGAGTAGTATTCCATTGTGTATATATACCACATTTTTCCTTATCCAGTTGTCTGTCGATGGACATTTAGGTTGGTTCCAACTCTTGGCTATTGTAAATAGAGCTGTGATAAACATGGGAGTGCAGGTATCCCTTTGACATGATGATTTCCATTCTTTCGGGTATATACCCAGCAATGCATATGGCAGTTCTATCTGTAGTTGTTTGAGGAACCTTTGTACTGTTTTCCATAAAGGCTACACTAATTCACAGTCCCACTTTGGTACTAGGAACTGAGCCAAGCTAAGAACACATTTAGATCTCTAGAAAATGAAAAATTGTCATTGAAATTAAAAATGCAGCCTTTATGGAAAATGGTATGGAGGTTCCTCAAACAATTACAGATAGATCTACCATATGAACCAGCTATTCCACTGCTGGGTATATACCTAAAGGAATGGAAATCATCATGTTGAAGGGATACCTGTACTCCCATGTTTATTACAGCACTATTTACAATACCCAGCCCAAATGTTCATTATCAGATGAATAGATAAGGAAAATGTGGTATATCTGCACAATGGAATACTACTGTGCTGTAAAAAAAAAAAATGAAACACTACTATTTGCAACAACATGGATGGACTTAGAGAAAATTATATTAAGTGAAACAGGTCAGACACAGAAAGAGAAATACCACATGTTCTCACTTATTTGTGGGAGCTAAAAATAAATAAATAAATATACAAACAAACTGGAGGAGGGCAAAGGGGAATGGGGGAAAAAGGAATTGGCAAAGGGACATGAAAATCAACTACATTGTATTTGATAAGTGACATTTTTTTAAAAAATGCAATTTGTGGGATCCACTCTACATCAGACACCGGCAGAAAATAAACTACCAAATTGGAAGTACTGGGAACTTCCTCCAGAATGGCACACAAATATGAAAAAGTAATTAAGACGAATGGTGGTTGGAACAAATGGCTTCAGCATCCACATAATAAGAGTCACAGGAGAAGAAGACAGGAAAGAAAGGCAGAGAAGCAATATTTGAAGAAACAGTCATTAAGAATGAAAATTAACCAAAATAAATCTGGATAACCAAAATAAATCACCTGGAGATATCAGAATGAACTGTGCAGTGTAAAAGACACAGAGACAACCTTTAAGTCTACTGGAGACTGTGGACAAATTATGAAAAACTATGGAAAAGGAACGTCATTTACTGTGACAAAACACAACAGAAGCCAGAAAACAATGGAATGATTATTTTCAAAGACCCAAAAGGGAAAAACTGGAACACCTATGCTATCATTGAAGAGGAGGGCAAAATAAATGACATTTTCAGATTAAAAACATAAAACAACTCTGTAAGGTTTACCACTCATAGGCCCTCACTAAAAGAAGGAATGTACTTCTGCAAGAGCATGAAAGAACAAAAAAGCTAAAGTGATAAGAAACAACATGATAATGAGGAAGGGCTGTTCAATAGGTCATAAATTTATGCCAAGAAAGAGACAAAAAAGAATAAGTTGAACTTTCAGAAGGAGAGAGCAGACCTGTTGTTCAGGAAAGGGGGTGCAGGAGGGGGAATAGTGAGAGGTTGGTTATTGAACACACAGCAGCTAGATAGGAAAAATACATTCTGTGGGTATACAGTCAAGCCAGACGTCTATAATTAACAATAATTTACTGCATGTTATCATCACATGTCCAAATGTACCAAATGTCCTCATCACAAAGAAATGATTATATTTTAGAATGATGAATATGCTAATTGCCCTGATTTGATCATCACACATTGCACACATGTACTGATATCCAACACTGTACCGCACAAATATGTATAATCAATATTTTTCAATAAAATAAAATAAAAATTTATGTAAAGCCTTCACCATGACTAGGAGGAGAATAGAAATAGACATTTAACTATACATTTTTCCATAAAAGTTCAAATTTATTTAGTATTTTTAAAAACTTAAAGTTAACCACTGAAGGAATGAAAAGAAAAAAGAGGAATATAGAAAACTATCCATTCTGCAGGATATAGGAAAGATGAAATGATAAGAACAAAGAAAATGATGGCAAACAAAAAATACAAAATAATATGTTCAAAATAAATCCAAACATACCAGTACTCATAATAAATGTAAATAGATTAAATTCTCCTTTTAGAAACAAAAATTATCAGATTGGATTTTTTTGTCCACCAAATATAAGGAGAAATGGACAAATTCATAATCATACTGTGAGATTTCAATACAACTGTATCAGAAACTGACACACATCAAATAGACCAAAAGAAATGGAAAGGATAAAAAAGCTTTGAATAAATTATCACGTTTGATCTAATATAAAAAGCCTACTCTAAATAGCAAAAATACATTTTTTTCAAGCACACACAGACCATTTACCAAAAAGAAAAAGATGAAATTCTGAATCACAAAGAAGTTTGAAAGAATGAGAATCTTAAAGACCATGTTCTGTAACAACAAGACATTTAAATTAGAAAGAAGCACTAAAAAGGCAGCCAAACAAAATCCAATGTGCTTGTAAACTTCAAAATGCACTTTTTTTTTTTAATAACCGGTAAGGGGATCTTAACCCTTGACTTGGTGTTGTCAGCACCACGCCTAGCCAGTGAGCTAAATGGCCATCCCTATATAGGATCCGAACCCGTGGCCTTGGTGTTAGCACTGCACTCTCCCAAGTGAGCCACGGGCCGGCCCTCAAAATGCACTTTTAAATAGCTCATGAGGTAAAAAGTAATCATGATGAAAATTATAACATATTTCTTGCTGAATGACTATAAAAATACTATATGTGCAAACTTGTGGGGTACAGCTAAAGCTTTTATTATTAAGAACAAAAAGATAAAAAATAAACAAGTTGAGAACTCAACTCAAGGAACTTTAAACATTACCATGTAAATCTAAAGAAAATAGAAGGAAAAAATAAAAATATGAGAAAAAAATCAAGAACAATAAAAAAGATCAGTAAAACCAAAAGTGAGCTCCTCGAAAAGCTAATGAAAACTAATCTCTTGGCAAAACTGGTCCAAGGGAAAACACAAAAAGAGAAGACAAAAATAGTACTAGAAATGGAAATGACTAAAATTATAAATATCGTCAACTTTTATTGACTAAAATATTTTTTTGAAAATTTAAACCAAGTTTATCATTTCTTTAAACGTAAAATTAACAAAAACACAGTCGAGATCACTTGGCAAACTTGAAT